CCCCAAGAAAATGATTTTTTAAAAATACATGGTATTTTAAGCACAAACCTTTCTTTGTAAAGTATAGAACATTTACATTTGTGAACTTCTAATAGTGAGAAAAAAACCTAAGAGAAAACATCTTAAATACAAAATTTGTGAGAGCTATGTTTCACTAAAATTTCCTTGGGAAAAATGGTTTCAAAACATACAAATTCTAAGTAATTCAAGCTTGCCAGGAATGCTTCCTTTAATAAAATGCAGGCTTTAAACTATTAATAAACAAAACTCATGTTCTTAAGAGACCCTAAAATTAAACATGTAAACAAGCAAGAACATGTAATAAAATTTTAAAAATGACAATAGATTTTAAAACAAAGGATTTTTTAAGTTTAAAAAGACAGAAAACATTTTGAATTTAAGCCTTATTCTTGAAATGTATTTCAAACGAGGAGCTGCTAATTCTTGCCTCACTCCCCCAATAACTGTGTTGAGTATTACAGTTAAAGACAGACTAGAAGGAAATAAGCACCATTATTCTTAAAATATGGTCTTTTGTTACAGTGAAGATAGGCCATGTTTTTATAATGAAGATGAAAGCCACACTACAGGCAAATCATTTTGTTGAAAATAGAGTAGCTTAATTAGGTATTTAATAATTCCTTAGGAGTTACATATTGTCCCACATTTTGTATCAATCATTAGCTTCTATAAGATTTCAGAATACACCACACCATATATTTCAGTATCAAGTCAAGTTTACATACCTCATTTTCAATGTAGCTATTGAGAAGCTCTTGGCCCAGTTGTCTAAATAAGCTACTCTGGATGGGTAGATCAATACTCTTAACTTTTCCTTTTTTAATGTTCTGGTTTAATCTTTCTTGTTTTTCTGAGGAAGTTGACTGGAATAATAATGGAAAAAGAAAAGTACAAATTTATAAACTATTTAAAAATGTATTTAGTGAGAGATTTCAGGTGAAACAATAAAATAAAATGATTTATTTAAAATACTACTTTGATTATAATGTTTCCCCGAAGGTAAGACATCACCCGAAAATAAGACCTACTCACAGTTTTGTCTCTCACGGAATATAAGGCATCCCCCCAAAATAAGACC